ACTGTCCACAGTGTCCACGCTGTCCACGCTGTCCATGCTGTCCACGCTGTCCACACTGTCCACACTATCAACACAATCCACACTGTCCATGCTGTCCATGCTGTCCACACTGTCCACGCTGTCCGCACTGTCCACGCTGTCCACACTGTTTACACTGTCCACACTGTCCACGCTGTCCACAATGTCCACACTGACCACGCTGTCCACATTGTCCATGCTGTCCATGCTGTCCATACTGTCCACGCTGTCCACATTGTCCACACTGTCCACACTCTCCACACTCTCCATGCTGTCCATACTGTCCACACTGTCCACACTGTTCACACTGACCACACTGTCCACGCTCTCCACGCTCTCCACACTGTCCACGCTGTCCACACTGTTCACACTGTTCACACTGACCATGCTGTTCACACTGACCACGCTGTCCACACTGACCACGCTGTCCATGCTGTCCACGCTGTCCACACTGTCCACACTGTTCACGCTGTCCACACTGTCCACACTTTCCACGCTGTCCACGCTGTCCACGCTGTCCACGCTGTCCACATTGTCCATGCTGTCCACACTCTCCACACTGTCCACATTGTTTGTGCTGTCCACACTCTCCACACTGTCCATACTGTCCACGTTGTCCACGCTGTCCACACTGTCCGCACTGTCCACATTGTTCGTGCTGTGCACGCTAAGGTGGTCTCTGGGGTAGTTACTAGAGCCATTCAAATCCTCCAACTAGATTCCTGTCACTGGGTTCACAGGCTCCTCTGGTTATAACAACTGCAAATCCCAGTCCTTTCTCCTATGGCTTTAAATGAATGGAGCAGTTTAGGAATTTGAGTTATTTTCCACTTAAAGCTTTCTTTTTAGTGTCTCCTATTCCTACTAAGAAAGAGAACTAAATCCCAGTGCCTACGTAATTTCAAAAAGCACACTGCTAACTCCTGAGGAACTTCTGCGGTTTCCCAGGCTCTCCTCTCACCACCCCACCCCCACCCCCACCACGCCATAGCAGAGCCCGATGTCTCCTGCACCACTTGCCAGCTCTTGGGCTCACCTCTTCCATTCAAAGGTTTCTTTTTTCTAATATTTTCTATTCGTTTATCTAAGACTAGTTCCTGATATCCACCATGTGCTTTTTTTCTCGCTTCTATGCCATCTTTTTTCCTTCCCCAAATTAGGCTTTGGCACATCAGTTAGTCATTATTTCTAACTGTGACTTTGCAGAAAAAGCCCTGCTTTTCTCACAGGTCTGGCATCCTAGCAGTGTGACCATTAACTTCCCGATTCGTGGAGCTGTTTCATGTCCTGCCTCTTTACCAGGGAGTTCATGTTTCGCAATAGTTACTCCCGGAATCTCTTTATAAGGAGATGTGCACACCGGTAGGTGTTGGGCTCGGGCCTGACTCATCGTGCTGGCTCGCTGGTCTCTGCGCTGCGGAGAGTCCCTCTATCAATCAAGTCAGTATTAACCTTATGTGTTTATCCTTGAAAACACCGAGGCGCCACCTCGCTGCGATCTGTCCTTGCAGATGGAGCACAGGAGGGACATAGAAGCGTGAGGCAGGCATTGCTAATTCTCAAGGAACCGTCTCGGTCGACGGGAGGGTGGTGGGTGCGTAGCCCCGCCAGAGCTGGGCACCCTGCCATTGTCCTCGCTTCACACCTTAAAGCAGGTGTTCAACACTCTTATTGCAGCGTTGGAATGATCTCACATATATTTGCCATTTACTAGCTTCCCAACCCTTAGAATCTAATTCACAATTTTTAATTGAAACTCTGAATTCTAGACATATAAATTAAATATATATAATTGAACGATGGAAGATAAATTGTAAGTACTTGGAAAAAATTAGTACTTGATATTTTGATATAAAAGTAGAGCAGTATACTTGATGCGATCAGGAATTTTCATAAGGCTACTTATAATTAAATAGTTACAAATACATTATCTTCATCAAAACTCCGGATGATTTTTAAAGTTAGACACGTCCTGAGACAGGTCTACTAGTAATAGGTAGAATTGTGTCCATTTGCTGTTGAAACTATGAGGGGTTTTTAAATGTTTTTTTAAATTATTATTGATTTCAGAGAGGAAGGGAGTGGGAGAGAGAGAGAAAAACATTAATGATGAGAGAGAATCACTGATTGGCTGCCTCTTGCACCCTGGGCACATGCCCCGACCGGGAATCGGACCGTGGTCACCTGGTTCACAGGTCCACGCTCGACCACGGAGCCACGCGGCCGGGCTGTGTGTGCGTTTGAAGAAGACAATGGGAGACGGAGGTTCCCAGTGCACAGCTGTCGGCGGGAGTCCAGGCGAGCTCCCCAGCTCACAGGCTGCGCCCCTTCCCGTGCCTCTAGGTCTCCTTGACTCCCCTCCTCGTTCTGAAAATGACTATGACAGGGGGGACCTCACTAGCTCACGGAGGGGCTGGAGGGGAGGTGGTTGGTAATCGTCCCACGTATTGGACATACAACAGAGACCTCGACGTGGCTGCTGGTGGCCCTGTCCCTTCGTAACCAGCAGAACGTCCCATGAACATTCAGTCCGAAAACAGCCTTTCCCTGTGCTCCTCTGAGGACAGTGACCGGTGCTCTTCCGGAATGCCCGTGCCGGCGTCCTCTGCGCTTTCAGGCCCGGGGGTGGCCCCAGACCCGAGTGCGCTACTAGCTTCCACTTTAAAACCCCGTTTCCTCGTGAGCACAGGCCCTGCCTCTGCGGGAGGTCACGCAGCCATTCCCGTAAAAGCGACCCCTGCCCCTTGTACAGACATCTGCGTGGGCTGGATACTCAGGGGCAGGGACAGCTGTGACTCCGAGTATTAGGGACAGGGTGGAGGGACCCTTGACCCTCGTCTGGGGCACACTCGCCTCCTTCCCTCAAAATACTGTTCTCATACATGGCAACATTTGACTATTAAGATTTAAGTCTGTGATCTTCCTTTCCTTTCCATGGCTTTAGCTATGAAGTCAAATAGGTATGTTTTTCATAAAGGGTTTTACTAATTTAAAGCGTTTGAAAATGTAATGAAAGCCTTTTCGGAATCCAAAGAAAGCTCTACACATGCAGTTTCTCCCAGGTTCCATTCTACACTTCCGTCATGAGAGGGAGTGGAGCGGAGGGCTGGCCAACCCTGACCTTGAGGTTCCCCTTCCCCGAAAGGGAAGTGGGGGAAGTTAGAGGCCCCCAAAGTAGGCTGTGCAGTGGGGAGAAAGATCCGCAGAATAAATGGCAGTTGGAGTGTAACTGTAATTTCTCGTTCAGGTAATAAGGAAAGAAAACAGAATATTCATGGTACTGATTTCAAAGAAGAAACTCCCTCCTGGGAGCCCTGCTCCCCTTGTGGCGTTTGCACTGACTCAGGCGGCGGGGGGGGAGAGGGGGGGCAGAGAGACGGTCTCTTCCCCGTCCCTCAGACACAGGTTTGCTCACACTCCTGGGCCTGAGCTCCGCGTGGCCAGGAAAGCCTGTCGGGGAAGCAGCCGGGGCCTCACGCAGCCGGGCCCTCGTGGCCTTGGGGCCTCGGTCTGCACTGAGTAATTTATAGAGGGAAACGCCTTAAAGTTCCCAGTCCCTACACCCTTAATACGCAAATGTCAACACCTCTCAAATGGCCATTTCGGGTTCTGAATATAGAAGTGCACCAAGGTTCCTTCTGCAGGCACAGCCCTGTCTGAAGAAAGAGCCTTATTTCTGGCAGACCAGCCCCCGCCCAGCCTCGGGCCCGGGAATTAAATAAAGAGAAAATGTGTGCAAGCAGTGACGGAGCCGGCCGGTCATGCTAAGGCTTCAGATAAACAAAAATCTCACATTTAGAAAAACGGGTCTGTTCTCACCTCATCCTTGGGACCGTTAACTGGGCACAAGCAGTAAAGGGCGGTTCCTGAAGCCGCTCCGGCTGTCTCCTGGCCTCCTCGGCCTGGCCTGTGGGTGCACAGGAGGTCCTCGTGTTGATTAGACTGAGCGTTCAGCTCAATGTCACCCTTCAGCTCAATTCAGGGGGTCCCTCCTGCTTCTCATAGGGGTGACGTCTGGGTGCTGTGACTCAGCGCGGCCCGTGTCCCCCAGGTGCCCCGACCAGGCCGGTGGGGCTGCCCCTGCAGTGCCCTCAGGGCCTGCCCTCTGCGCCCACTCCCAGACTCGATGCTGAAATGTCTGGTTTCTAATTTAACTTAGTCACTGCTTCGCCTGAGGCAGTTTAGTTTCCTCATCTCCAGAAGGAGAGCAAGTACCCTTAGCAAACATCGCTACTTTGACATTAGAGAGATCACGCAAAGGGAAGCTCTTTGTAAGAAGTTCTCAAGGTAACGTATGTTATACGCGACAGGGCCCTGGCCGGACATGTTGCCAGGAATCAGGGTGCATGGATGTGCCTGGGGAACGTGCCACCGAGGCACCTGAATCTACCAGGCCAGCTGGAGGTCCAACACAGGCACCAAGTCAGTAGGGACGTGTTGGTTCAGAAAGAAGGGCTGCTCAGTTCAGCATGATGGCATCTCTCTCTTCGGGCTCAACTCCCAGCCGGCTCAGATCTCTCTAAATACGTAGTGAGGAAGCTGGATAGTATTAAAGATAGCTCCCCTTTCGCCCACTCCCCTCCTCCCCCCGTATCTGTAATACCATCAACAATAAAAAATTTATATATATAAAAAAAGAAGCTGGGGGGATTTAAATTGTTTCTATTAAGGTGACTCCATTTGTACCTCAGGTGGTGTGAGACCTGGGAAAATTAACTACATGTAACCATATACATCCATATATATAATATCCATAGTATATCCATGTATAGTATATAATGTATTGTATGTATATAATGTATGCATAATATATATTTGAAATATGTATTAAATATATTCTACATTTGCCAGCCTAACAAATATAGAAGGTAAACATTTCCTGAGCATTGTCCTGTGTACTTCATGACTTTGTATACAGTTTTTGGTGAGACTAATGAAAATTACAGTTTCCATTTCTTTATCTTTGATCTGGAAAAATACAGAGAAGTACTAGGTTTCGTCAGACACCAGAAGATGGCTGGCACATGACCACGAACAATGAATTACCACTCAGAAGCAGATCTGGAATGATGGAAATGCCCTCTCTTTTTTTGGAAGCTGGTTATCAACGAAGATGAATCACCAGTGCTGTTGACTTCACTGTGAATGGCAGGAACACCAGGGATAGCCTCAAAGGAGACTGATGAATAAGGTCTCACAGACGCTACCCCTCCTGCCTCAAACCCACAGCCACTCACAGCCTGAAATACGGAACTCAGAATTTCAACGTTTCCTCAAACTGCGAGCAGATGAAGGGGGAAGCAGCCAGGACATTAGTCTGACTCCTCACAAAGCAGCTTCAGACAGTTCCAAGTCAATAATACATTAAGATCAAGAAAGTAAAATTAACATCTCAACAAAGAAAGGTGACAATCAGGAATTGGCTGAGTGGTATCCCCCCGAAAGGGATATTGAATCCTAGCACCCATCTCAGAATGGAGAAAGCGCCTTTAGAGAGGTGACAGGTAAATGAGGTGATCCATCGGGTGGGCAGATCCACTATGGGTGCTTTTAAGAAGAGGAGATCACTACAGAGACACACACACCAGAAAGACCACGTGAGGCGGGTGGGGGCAGCTGTGAGCCTAGGAGGATGCTCAGAATGATGCCAACCTGCTGGCACCTCGCTCCGGGACGTCCAGCCTCCGGGGCTGTGAAGAATGCATTTCTGCTGTTTACGTCTCTCGGGCTGGGTTTGTGGAGGCAGCCCTGGGAGGCTGATCAGGTCTCCTCCACCTCACACAGGAGGGGAACCCAACCCCCTCTCTTGGATCCACGACTCTTACATTTGGGTTGTGCCTGTGATTTTCAAAGCAGTGTCACCTGTGGCAGCAACGGAGGTCTGACAGGGCAGGCCCTCATGACCCCATGTCACCGGTGGGGAGAGAGGGGGCCCTGGGACCGACCGGTGCCCCCGAGAGCCCACCCAGCAGGAAGCAGCCTGGCCGGCCTGACACCAAGTCCTCAGACTGGGTCCCAGGGTTTCTGCATCTCTGAGAGGCACGCATTCCCGCCGCAGCCTGGATGAGTCTGAACTTCCTTCCCCTCCTTCCTTCCTCTCTCCTTGCCCAGAAGACGCCCGCTCTCAGGACTCAGGGAGGACATCCCGTGGGGCATGGACTTTACCACTTTGGAAAGCAGTCCGTAACTTCACAGACACAAATTAGTATTTCTAACCTTAACTTTTATGCCTAAAGAGAAAGAAAAGGTCAATCTCTGTGTGACAAAAACAAAGGTCAGTCATTAAGCCCCTCCTTCCACCACCGCTCGTGCCATTAGACCCTTTCAGGGAAGGGTTTAGGGAGGAAGGATGGCTCTATGTAAAAGGACAGTCCTCTGGAAAGGCAGGCTCTCCGTGGAGCTGAGGATGTGAGGACATTTGTATAACTACAGAGAACTTGGGGGACAAGGAGGGATGTCTAATGAGGGAGTCAGGAAGCTGAATTTATAATGTGCTTTGTAAACCCCACGGAATTCCCACCTGGGTGCCTCCAAGAGCTTTTCAGTAGAGGTCTACATTACTGTTCAGTGATTTTGGGGGCTGAAATTCTCTCTCTCTCTCTCTCTCTCTCTCTCTCTCTCTCTCTCCCCACATGTCATACCAAACTGGGACAGGTCTTAAAGTGGGCCAATTTTATTTGAATCACAATTATTTCCTCTTAGGTCTACTGAGAAGTGAGCTAGAGTAAAGAAAGATTCAATCGTGCAAACTAGCAAACTACAGGTAAACAGTCAGAAAGACATGGAGCTCTCCAGATCTCACAATATGATGCCATACAATGTCTTCTGGATCAGTTAATACTTCTCAACAAAAGCCACTCTTAGGACTAAAAAGAAATCAGCCGCTCCCTCTCTCTCATTCTTTCTATTTCTCTTTCACCATCCATCTTTCCACCCATTACCCATCCATCCAAATATCCATCCACTCATCCATCCACTCATCCATCCATCCATCCATCCATCCATCCACCTATCCATCCATCCATCTACCCATCCACTCACTCAGCCTCCCAGGACAGGAAAAGCCGAGGGCGCCAGCCAGGCCAGGGACCTGCCGGAAACGGTGCAGAGTCAGCGGAAAGCGGCCTCCCTGGGTGTGGAAAGAAACTGCTGCCGGGACACACGGAGCCTTTCCAGGTTACACGGCAAGAAACGCCGCGCCTTGGCATTCCGCGCCGGCTCCAGAAACCAGGAGAAACCAGGCTGCGCGTTCTTTCCAGAAGGACTCCTGAAAGGGCTTGCTTTACCCCAAGTCTACCTATCCATCCACTCATCCATCCGCCCATCCATCCATCCATCCATCCGCCCATCCATCCACTCATCCATCCGCCCATCCATCCATCCACCCATCCACTCATCCATCCATCCATCCATCCATCCATCCATCCATCCACCCACCTATCCATCCATCCATCTACCCATCCACTCATCCATCCATCCATTTATTCCTCTATTTCTGTTTACATATCTGTCCGTATATTATACTGAGATGTTTCTATAGCTTATCTCTAGTTTGTAAAATCTTCCCGTATGCAAGTTCTAAGTGAGAGAAACTGCCCATGATTAAAGTAAGAGAGTGTGACTATCGGAACTCTGCTCATTGCTCCACATCCTCACAGGCTGAGTGACTCACATCTCTCGCCTTCAGGACATGGAGCCAAGGGGTGAAGGAGCCAAGGCCACCACCCTTAACCAGGACAGGCCTCCTGTGGTCTCTGCTCCAGGTCACTGGCCTGGGCTTCTTCACCGCGCAGTGGCCTCGGGTCAGCCAGACTCCTTCCTGGAGGCTCGGAATCCAAGGCAAGTGTCCCAAGAGAAGGAGCGGAAGGGCATGACGTTTCTATGACCTAGCTCCCAAGTCACGCGGTGTCATCACCACCCGCTGCAGGTTGAGGCAGGCACAGAGTCCTGCTGGTTCCAGGGGAGAGGGCATGGCCCCCCGACCTCTCCCCTCTCAGTGGGAGGAACCTCAGCATTCCTTGTGAGAAGAGCATGTGCGAGGGAGAAGGGCTGTAGCTGTTCTTGAAGATACAGCCCTGCAGGCAACAGTGGGACTGCAGGCCCTCAGCCGTTTTGTGAGCCTGAGGGTAGAGATAAGTTCCCACTTCCTGGCCCCGAGAGGAACAGGCCCCTCACTGCTCTCTCCCTATCATGGCACAGGCGAGCAGCTGGGGAGAGGTGACAAGTGTCTCCCAGGAACCAGGCAGCCCAGCAGCAGGGAGGGAGGAGGGCCGCACGTCCCCTGGCCCCAGAGATGGAGAAATGTGCCAAGAGAAACCTGGGTGCAGAAAGGCCTGCAGAGATGAAAGGCTTCTTGGTTATGGGGGGAATGGTTTCTCTGCAGGAAAGTGGGGCCTTGAGCCTGAAGGAGACGGGTGGTGGGGGGGGCAGGGAAGGGGAGGCCAGGTGTCCAGGCCTTGAGAACGGTGCCAGCCCCTCCTTGAGCTGCCATGTAGGGGGCACCGAATGATGGCCACTGCACCCCAAGCCGAAGCTCCCTTGGCCCTGGGGTGCACCTGGCCTTGGGGGAGACAGGACAGGGAGTGCCCCAAACTGACCAAGTTTGTCTGGAAGAGACAGAGGACCTTGGAGGTCAACATGTAACCTTTGTGTTGAGTTGTAGAAGGAGGAACGTGACCAACGTTTTTATATCTGGGGTCTGGCCAGCACAAATCGCACCCACTGTCCACTTACTCCTGCCATGATGGGCCTTAACCTGTTTCCAAATTCTCACTTAGTAATTCAGCTGCATGACAACCTCCACGTGTTTACTTCTGCGCACGCCTGCTCCTCCAGAAAAGATGCCTGGAAGCGAACGTCCGTCAGTCCCGGCCCCTGCTTTCCTAGGGGACCCGCCCCCGACCTGGCCCGGACCCACCTTTCCGTGGAACTGGAATGTGGGCTATTGTAGGCGGGGCCTGTAGGCGGGCTTTCCGTGTGGCGCGTGTGCTTTTCTGCAGTCAATGTTTGTCGAACAAATAATTCACATTTATGTACAAATAACTCTATGCTATCTTTTCTCAATTTTTATTTATTGATTGATTTTGAGAGAGAGAGAGGAAGGGAGAGAGAGACATTGATTTGTTGTTGCTTATTTATGCATTTATTGGGAGATTCTTGTATATTCCCTGACTGGGGATTGAACCCGCAACCTTGGCGCTCTGAGCCCCTGGCCAGGGCCCATGCTATCTTTTCACATGTTTGTCTTTGAGAGAATTGCATGACCAACTTACTGTCAAGACAGCCCCTGGTTCCTGAATGACATGAATGCCAGAAGCGGTCCCCAGGCCGGCCCAGGAGCTGAGGAGCCGAGAGGAGCAGGTGGCAGCAGGGCTGGGGTTCCAGGAGTCAGTTCCATCCCCAGGGAAGCCTCGACTTCGCAGCCTCATCACTGGGGACCCAGAGGGGGTCGCTCTTCTAAGAAATGCACTCAGTAGGCCTCACGTCTGCTCCCTCACCCTCCCCTGGGGAACAGAGGTTGTTCCTGAGAATTCAGACACCACTGGCAGGAAACAGCACGGCATCTGATGAGCTTCACAGGAGGGAAGGCCAGAGGGACAAAGGTACACCTGGGACACAGGGCACCTAACTACGTCTTGCCTGGGGCCAGAGATGTTCTCTGCTGCTCAGGCTTGCCCTCGCCAACCTGTCCGCCAGACGCTGCAAGTTCCCCGGATGAGGGCTCTGCCTGCTTCCGCGGGGCGTGGAGGCCGGCTCCTTAGCAGGCGGGGGAGTTGACACCAGGATGCCGTCCTGAGGTGTTCGGTCTCAGAGTCCTGTCAAGGCCGGTCGCCCCTGCAAGCAGAGCAGCCAGAGCAGCATCACCGTGGAGACTGACGACTAACGACCTCTAACAAATCCCTGTAACAAAACCAGGGAACCGCAGGCTGAGTTCTTCTCAGACGGAGACGAAAGCCTAGGCCCGTGGTTGGCAGACTGCAGCTCACGAGCCACATGTGGCTCTTTGGCCCCTAGAGTGTGGCTCTTCCTAAGCCTTAGGAGTACCCTAATTAAGTTAATAACAATGTACCCACCTATATAGTTTAAGTTTAAAACATTTGGCTCTCAAAAGAAATTTCAATCGTTGTACTGTTGATATTTGGCTCTGTTGACTAATGAGTTTGCCGACCAATGGCCTAGACGATTTTTCCGTGAGTTTAAGATTTAAACTTTGAACTCAATGTACTTAGAGAGTCCCAGGCCTTGGAGGGAAGCAGCTGGACGTCCCCTCCGGGCTGTGCCCGGCATCAGGAGAACAGATGCTTTGCTCTGTTTCTCTAAGTCAACAAGCACAGCCAGGGTCTGGGGGGACACGAGTCAGGGCAGTGACAAGGAGTCTAGGTGAAGATGTGCATGGCTTTCATTCTACTTCTCACATCCGCTGGACCCCCGACGGACTGGGGCCGGGATTTTCTTCGGGGTTGGCCTGCGGG